CCTTCTCGCCCTGCTGAATCGTTCCTAAATCAAGGGTCGTCTTCTTCGCAGGTATGTTCATGGAAAAGTTGGAGGTGAATAAGTAAGCAAGCGTCCTGAAGTTATTCACACAACCAGTCGGCAGGTTGCCGAACCATTGTTGTGCGATTCCTTTGAGAGTCGCTGGGAAACACTTGCACCAAGTGGGATCATCCAACCCTTGAAGGTACATCAGGTTGGTGAATGCCATCAAATGGTCTTCTGGGTTAGTAGTGCCGTCATAGGCGCCTACTAATACATTTTTCACTTTGGCCGGCTGAGCGGCTTCAGCAATTTCCTTGGAGAAGGCCGACGGCTGTTCCCCAAGTCTAAGCAACCGTAGCTGCCAGTCCATAGGTTGGACATTCTTTGCTGCATGCCCACCAAACAGAGGTGGCTGCAAAAAATATTGTTGTTGCGGTACAAATGGTAAGTTTGGTACCGCCTGGTCCCTATGAAAGCCGGACTGACGGGAGGTGCCGCCTGACTGACTCTCATGATACGACTGAGTATACTTCATCGAGGTATTGCGTAGTCTGTCTTGGAAGTCTGAAGTAGAGGCCGACTCTGACAATCGGTCATTCTTCTTCTGCTCTAGCAATAACCGAGCATCTGTGTATGTTTTCTTCGACCCGTCCGCCTGAATATGACGAACAGGTTTCCTCTTTCCTGGAGTAGGAAAGCGGTACTTTGTGAAATCAAGGGCAGGCGGCTCCCACTTCCTAGAGTTAGGATGAGGGGTCGCCTCTCGCCCTTGAACTGGTTTCCTCTTCCCTGAAGTGGAAGGTTTCTTAGCAGACTGCTCCTTGGCCAGAGCAGGCTTCTTGTTGAGCAACTCTTGAATCTCTCCCTTGAAGCCCCTCATGAAGGTCATGAGTTCGTTTCTTGTAATGGGAGCAGACCCATCAGTCGGCTGCTGCTGAACAGGCGGTGCGCCGGCTGGATCACTGAGTCCAGTTTGAAGATGTTCCCGTTCCCTCCTTTCGGTATGACGGGTGCGTCGGGCCCTTAGGGTCCCGTCTGAAGCTGTGTGAGCTTCAACTTCAAATTCTTCCTCAGTATCATGGTCCGACTGAACTTGAGGGTCGTCAAGGGGACGCCTCTCTTCAGGAGTCGGTACAGACGTGGATGCCATCTCAGAAGTACTCTCCCCACAGACGGCGCCAAAAATGTTTCGGGGTTTTCTGATGTCCTGCGGGAGAGTTACAATTCCGAGACTGGAACCGGACGCCTGTACCTGCAAAACAAACGGATGCTCCGGATGATTGGAGATCCGCCTCCGACGGTCAAGTTAGTACTTGATTAAGGAGTAATTAATGCGGAAGTAAAAGTGTTTGGGTTTCTCTAGGTGAGAGTGTTAAATGTGCGTACTCCCCCTTAATGAGGATTAAGGGAGGTATTTATAACCTTGGGAAACGTGCCAACCCTAGGTTTAGGTTAACCTAGGGTTGATTGGGCTTCCCTTGGAAGTTGGGCCTAGGTGGCTGGTTTCTCCATTAGGCATGGAGGATGCCACGTGTCATGACATAATAGGTCCAGGGTGGACGAATAAGCGTGTGCCACGTGGCAAACCCTGACAGTTCCAAGTGGAGGACACTTGGCAGGACCTAATTGGCCCACGTGGCGCATTCCGATTGGTGGGAGCAAAAATCCCCTAATCACTATTCATCACCCCTTCTTTGACCGTCAGGAAATATATATTCATGTAGGATATTTTCGGATTCGTCTCAATAAGTACTATCATAATATATAAGTTTACTTTTTTTTACTTATAGAGAATTGAAGTTATTAATCGTTAAAGTTTTGCATTAGCAAGCTTGATAAAAGAAACAGGTCAAGTAAAAAAGAACAGAGGAAGTATTTTTTTTCGAACAAATTTAATTTAATTAATTTATATAAATAATTTATGTTTAATTTTATATAAACTTAATTATAAATTAATATAAATAAACTTAATTAAATAAGTTTATATAAATAAACTTATTTATTTATTAATTAATTAAGTTTATTTAATTAAATAAGTTTATATAAATAAACTTAATTAAATAAGCTATAATTGGGTATGGGCTGTGCCACGGGCCGTGCCGGTTGGTCGACGATCGTGCCGCCCGCCATGCTCGTGCCGAATTTCAATTTTTTGTTCACGGCACGGCCCACAAGCTAGTGGGCCGCCGTGCTGTGTCGTGCCATGTCGGGCCCTGCCGGGCCCGTGCCCATATTTAATTCTAGTCTTCTTTTTCCACTTCGTCAGAAAAAAAAAGGTCAGAATTTAAGAATTTGGATTTTGGAACAAGTTGGTTAAAATAAGAAATCATATCTATTTTTTGTGGTAAATAATATAAAAACAATATGATTTGAAGGGTTTGAAGTGAATACAACATATATAGGGCAATTTTGATCAACTTAAAGTAAATATAAAAGAATGAGGAATAACTCAAGTGGTTAGAGCATTTCTCCTGATTTTAGGATATCTTGGATTGATTCCTCACCCCCGTCGTTGTGCCTCTGTATCCATCAAATATATAATATCTCCGCTAAATGTTATGTGTAACTTTAAAATATTTTATATCTCACAAATAATATCCCAAAGTTGCACATAACATTTAATGGAGGTAGTACATGAGAAAAATTTTGAGGGATATATGAAAGTTTTGAGGGATAAAATTTTTATGGGAAATAGAATTGTAATTTAGAGACAAAAAGTAATATAGCAGTGAAATTATATTGTTCATAGTTCATATCAAATAGAGTTTATTTCCAAATAAATACAAAGCATCTTCATATTGGGGAAGAGCGTTATGATAAGCTATATAACATATTGGGGAGTTCCTTGTTTGGTCAATTGATGTTAATTTTGAAATATGCATCATACTTGAGATATCAAACAAAATTTATCAATCATGGAAATTAGAAAGTTTTCTATAGTGAAATATATTGACAGAATTTCTCATCAACTCTACTAAACTCATTACAAATAAAAAAACAAACTTATTAACTCATTAGTGTAGATAGCTAAATATTAAGAGAAATGATAGAGAATGGCTATTTGCGACTACAAAAACCTAAAAATTAAGAGTACTACAACAAGAAAGAGAGAGGTTAATTAAGATAAGCCTACCAACTAATTGTTGACTTCTTTCTATCTCATAATTAAAGTTTTTTGCTTTGATAACATGGCCAAAAGCACTAGATATAATTATCTCAAGATATAAGTTTTGTTGCAAAAATATTAAAGTTTTATTATACAATGTAAAATGTTATTCCGATGTTCCGTGCACCGTATTAATATTTGCTACTCCGCCTGCTCGTATAATTAGGGATGGCAATGGATCTGGACCCGACCCGGATCCGTTGATCCAGATCCGTTTTTCACGGATCTGGGTCTTCAAATTTTAGACCCGACGGATCCGGGTCGGATCTGGGTCCTACTGACAAAAACGGATCTGGATCTGGGTCTGGGCCCTAGACTCGGATCCAGATCCGTGGACCCGTTTTTTTTTTATTTTTCCTATTAAAAAAAACTTAAATTGTTTATTTCTATTAAAAATGTTGATAATGTTAGTAATGATAAAGATTAACCCTTTCAAAAGATAAATTTTGGATGCTCATATTATATACATCATCGTTGTTTTTTCACTAGCTCATATGTAACATCGTATTTTTTTTTTTTAATTTTAATTCAAAATATGAGTGTATAAGTTGGTTAATTTGGGGTTTAACTTAATAACCAACAATGTAAGTTTGAAATATATTTTTTGACCCGAACATTACATTTTTTGTAAAAAAATAGGCAAAATATATTGGACTCGTTTTGGACCCGGATCCGGACCCGACAGATCCGGATCCGGGTCTTCATTTTCTAGACCCGACGGATCCGGGTCGGATCTGGATCCTTCATACAAAAACGGATCTGAATCCGGGTCCATCTGGACCCAGTCCAGATCCGACCCGTTGCCATCCCTACGTATAATTCTCAATTTTTGTTTGACCATCTTTAACGAATGACATTTATGGAAAAATATAGTCAATTTAAAACATATTATATTCGTCTCAGTGTATATTTTTAAAATGCATATAAGCATTTAATATCTTTCCTTTTTTAGTATTAATTTGAGAATTTATTGATAATTCACGAGTAAATAAGGTGTAATAAATGTTTATTTATTGTTAATTCTTTCCACTTTTAGCTTCTTATATACAGCCCTTAGGGCTGCACATATTTTTTTCCTTTTTAAAATATCAATTTTTTTTTATAATTTTCAAATAAAAACTAAATGTACTTCCTCTGTTTTTCTTTTATTGCATCATAATTAGTTGTTCACTACCATGTCTAAGACTTATGAGGTTTGTCACGGTTACGTGAGGTAAAAGTCCTTATAAGTTATGTAGGATCTAGTTAGATTCGTCTCAAAATCATCTTTTTACATTGGCAAGCGTGAAATCCCGTTATCTTAAAATTTGTTAAATTTGGGTTTGGGCTGCACCCGCAAACCAAGAGAGTCCACTTCACAAATCCAAATGAGGTTTTTCATCCCAAAACCATATAACAATAAGAGGAGTAGTCCCTTAAGACTTATAAAGTGATTAACTCTCTCTTCTTCAACTAATGTGGTGATTCTTGAGAAGTCTATTCTTCAACATAAATTTTTAATCAAAAAATTACCTTAAAAATTAGATAAAACTCTTCCTAATAATAAGTTCAGTTCAGTAAAATTTAGTAATTATAAAGAATAAATATAATAGAAAATCAGTAAAAATGATTTTAGTTCAACAAAAATAATTTCAGTTAAGTAAAATTAATTTTAGTTTAGTAAAATAATTCAAGTTTAGCAAAAATAATTTCAATTTAGTAAAAATATTTCAGTTCAACGAAAAAAAAATTAATTTGCAAATATAAGGTGAAGCGAATGAGGTCTTACTCCTCCAATTTGTTTAATATTCATTTTATTTTGAAGAAATAGAGGCTTTTTTGAATAAATTAAATATACATTTACAGAATTATAGATTCATTCAAGTGACAATAATTTGAGTGGGCGACAAAGTTGACAAGTTATTACACCAACTTTGATCCTTCTTTGAATCTTCCCTATTTCACTATGCCATGACTGCTTTCTTGATCCCGTTTCTCCGATCCCTTAGTCCCTATAGTGCTCGTCTCTCTTTTCCTTCACAACCGCAAGCCCGGCCCTCAAGGCTTCACCACCATCACGACACCGCAAACTTTACCTGTATTTTCAAGGAAGCGCACGCAGCAAGCGATATCATAGAAAAGGGAGATCGATCTAGCTAGCTGAAAGACCTTAATTCAGATCACTTGCTACTAGAAGTGTAGTAACAAAAGGTAAATATCTTCCCATGTTATGCATATATTTTCCGTTCTTCTTTCTAGAATGCATGAGCTAATAGCGTGACAAACTGACAACTAAATCTGGAGTATTTTAGCTAGTATGTACGTGTTCTAATCTAAGCTAAACTTCAAGTGGGTAAAACACTAAAACTTTTATGATTGCTTTATTAATGACTTTATTGTTATTATAGTTGTTCATGTTCATCAATATAGTTATAGTACACTTTTGATAAAATCGGTGCCTATAGCTTTTTGAAAGAGCCCAAATCCAACATTAGTTTGGGAACTCATAAATCAATTGAATTAAATGATGTATGTAATTTGTCAACCTTGTGACCAACTAATATACTACGTATGTACTTTGCTTCCTTTTGGTTAAAAAGATTTAAATTTAGAAAATAATCAGATTGGATAGATTCTGGTTTAACTTAGACGAATAAGAATAATAAAACTTTTTTTTTTTAATAAACAAGTATAAATACTAGAAAAGGGAGATCATTTGCTTCTAAGACAATGTTTTTCACACGTCCATCCAAATACTCAAGGCTATACTTTTATCCATTATAGTTATTTTTGGCTTTACCATGGTTACTACATCCCTCAGAATTCATAATATGGAGTATAATTTGTAATCAATTTGAAAATAAGATAGTTTTAAATTTTTAATGACTTTAATGATGAAAATGTTTTTTTTTTTATTATTATTTATTAATAGTAAAATTAATTTATTAATAGAAACTCATACACCATCTACAAATAAAATCTAAATTTCTAATGACTTGAGAACGAGAGTTTAACAAAATGCATAATGGTGGATCGGTGGGTCCATAAGACCATGACTTAGGGAGCTAGTGATGGTCCCAGTGTTGGTCACAAATTGATATGGAGTGTTTATAAACAACTATATCCACTGATGCAATAATGCTAAGTTCATATAATACGGCCAATGCCTGATCATTTTGCTTCAACATGTTGATATGTAATAACTTTGAGGGAGACTAATTTGTATCAAATGAACATAAGTTGTCAAAAGTAACCGACACAATAACATAGTGCTAAATTTCGTTCCTAACATTTTCGGATAATAACAGTAAAAAATAAAAATATATAGTGACTTTTGGTAAAAAGAAATTTTATTTAGAATTACTTTGAAGATAGGGTTATTTATGAATAATTACCTTTTTTTATTACTCCGTATTATTTATTTAGAATTGCCTTATGAAACGTTTTGGTAACACTACCCATTAACGTTTCCCATCCAATTAAGACATTAATGGGGCCTAATTTTCACTTTTTCCACTTGATTAACTCCCTTAACTATCTTCTTTCCTCCCTAATTAATTTCCCTCCATTCTCACTCTCTTCTTTCACCTTCCTCATTTCACCTTGAATTCAAAACCCCCAAATTAATTTGAACCCATAAACCCTAATCTGAATCACTAATTTTATTGAATACAATTGATCTCAAAGCTAAAATAACTGGAACCAAAACTCAATTAAACCCCCAAACCCTAGAAATCAAAATCCCCCAATTTATTTGAACTTATAAACCCTAATCTGAATCACTAATTTAAACCCTAATTATGTTAATAGCATTCAATTAAAACTTGTAAACAAATACAGTAAACAATGAATTAAAATTAAAGTATGAAACATTACCTAAATTATTGATAATTTGCGTTTAATTGCTTGATTATGTTCTTGATCTCAGATTTTGTGAGTGAGAAGGGAGGGAAAATTAATTAGGAAGGAAAGAAGAGGAGAGAAGGTAATTGGAAAGTTAATTATGTGGGAAAAGTGAAAAAGTTATCCATTAACTTCTTAATTGCGAAAAATGTTAGTGGGTAGTGCTACTCAAACGTTTCATAACTTGCGGGTATTTCTAAGCAAATTAAAAATTAGAAAACAAAATGTCTCAAATAACCCAATCTTTATGGTAATTCCAGACAAAGATTTCCTTGGGTTAAAGGATGGTTCTAATAAATAATTGTTCGGGATAACAAAAAATGGAAGTGTTTATACAAGTAAAACCGAAGAATAGTGGTAATAAACCACCTCCTAGTTATCAAATCTACTTATCTACCATCTTTTGAAAATTTTCACTTGTATTACAAAGTTGGGTCCAAGTTAATATCCCAACATATACGACGACCTAAAAAAACCGATTAAGCTGCAGAATTATTGTAGATAAGATAGTGAATTATGTTCATAAATAAGATGTATAATATTCTCGCTTCGTAGCAGATACGGAACCATATTTAGTAATCCAATAGGGTTACACATCAATAATAGTAGAAATCAAAATGAGATTACAGGACCACAAGCTCATTGTACTGCAAGTCTGTAACACGAACAACAGAAACTTATAGAAAAAACTTATGTTCTATAATCCGATTACTGACAGTTTAAGTATTTAACAAAGTAACTAGATATTACAATTTTTTGCAATGCAATCCTCATCTCGATCTCCCCATATGGAACAATCATCAGATCATGTATTCATGTTGACCATCTTTACATGGTTGGTCTCACATTAAGTCGGCTTGCAACTTTCATACCCAGAGATTTGTCGGCCTGTAGTAGTAATACAGATGCAAAACAAAGTGTTATTGATATTCGATAAATAGTATTGCAGTAATAATTGCAACTATGCCAACTGATAATTTGAAATAATTGAACACTTACTTGGGTCCAGTATGAAACCCAGATACTGCGTATCTCATGAGTGACACGAGGGTCGGATAAAGCATCAACCACTCTGCAGATAAATCTCTCTTGCCTGGATGCCACCATGAGACAGATATATGAGCACACAAACGATACACATATCAAAAGAAAGCCAAAAATAAGAATGAATTCTGCAAGTGCAGCTAGGAAAGAGTCCAACCTGGCTGGGTCCATTGATCTGTATCGCTCTCCAGGCTGCTTGAAGTTGTTTTCCTTTGTAATGATTTGCTGCATTAATAGAATAACAGTAGTCCAGATTTTCATTCAGTTAATATGCATTTCTAAACCCAAATCATCAATATTAAATTAACCTAAAGAAGAGAGGTCATGACTCATGAAGCATCAACAAACACGCAGCAGACAATTAAAAGAACTAACCCTTTCACGCCTTCCATTCAAAATATTTGCAGGAATGGGGTATCTCTCAGCATGACGAACGGGATCATATCTTGATGGAAAGTAGTCCACCTGAGAAACAGCATAAAGTAAGACATGGGAGCAAAATATAAGCAGCAATATTACTAGCAAGAAATAAAAACTGAAATCGCAGCAATTACCTCCTCATCTCTGTGCATAAAGTTCATGAAACCATCATAGTGATTGTTGTGGTGAGCACACTTGGGAGCGTTGACTGGAAGTTGCAGGTAGTTGGGACCAAGCCGGTGCCTTTGGGTATCAGCATATGAGAAAATTCGGGTCTGAAGCAGCTTGTCATCTGAGTAGTGGACACCAGGAACAACAATAGCAGGGCAAAAAGCCAGCTGCTCATTTTCTGCAAAGAAGTTGTCAATGTTCTTGTTCAAGACCATACGACCCACTGGCTGAAGAGGCAAAATGTCCTCAGGCCATGTTTTGGTAACATCTAGGGGGTCAAAGTCGAATTTATCTTCATCAGCTGGGTCAATTGTCTGGACAAACAGCTTCCATTCAGGATAGTTTCCAGCTGCAATTGAGTCAGTAAGATCCTGAGTAGCATGGCTGTGGTTAGCTCCTCCAACTTTAACGCATTCATCCTCCAACAGGCACTTTACTCCACATGTTGGCTTCCAGTGGAACTTCACATAGTATGCTTTTCCAGCCTTGTTGACCAGAGTATATGTGTTAACTCCAGAGCCTTCCATGTGTCTGTAGTTTGCAGGAACACCAATATCATCAAAGAGGAAAGTGAACATGTGTAAACTCTCGGGATGGTGAGAGAAGAAATCCATGATCCTCCAGTTCTCTTGAATGTGGGTTTTAGGATTGGGCTTGAGGGCATGCACCATATCAGGGAATTTCATACCATCACGAATGAAAAACACAGGGAAATTGTTCCCCACTAGATCGAAGTTACCCTGTGATAAACAGAATTTTAGAATATAATATATGCTGTTGGGAAAAAACGAGACTAAAGCTTCAGCATCAAATCAAACTAAAAAGATTTATGATCTAGTCATGATAAGAGCTGAACAATCAAAACGCTAAATCAGTGAGCTACATACAGCAAAGAGGTTATATTCAGCATTATGGACAAGGCCATCTTTCCAGGTACTTTTTAAAGTATTGTATTTGAAACTAGAAAAGCTTCGTAAATTTTTAATGATCAAGAACGTAGAAAATAAACTAGGTAGATGGCATAATTCCATTAGTATCAGTATATAACAGATATTAACAGCGTAGTAAGTGTAATAATGTGACCAGCACTAGCATGGATAAACACTACTAAGAATGAAAAAGTAACAGAATATAGGCCATTATAACTTTGGTATAGAGTTGGCCCTTACCTCTCTAGTGTAGAACTTCACAGCAAAACCACGAGGGTCCCTGAGGGTTTCAGGACTTCCACGTTCATGAATAACAGTAGAGAACCGAACGATCACAGGTGTCTGGACACCAGGAGCACGCAGGAAATCAGCACATGTGAGGTGTGTAATATCATGAGTAACTTCAAAAAATCCCTTAGCACTCGCTCCCCTGGCATGAACAACACGTTCTGGTATACGCTCTCGGTCAAAGTTAGCAAGCTTTTCCACAAGATGATAGTCCTCCAAAAGAATGGGGCCTGTTCAGAAAGATACATCAGCATAGCCCATACCCATTACAGACACATCCTCTGTAAACTATGTCATCACAGTACAAATACATCACTAATTTGCTGAGGTTAGACCAAAAAAAAAAAGGAAAAATTAGAAGTGCCTAAGCTGATAGCAGTCTCACTCAGCTACTTATCCGAATTGAAGTAATTGGCTATGTTGGTTTTGGGGTCTAGGTAGTGTACCTAAATAACTAATGAAGCTAGATTAAACTAAATACAGGGCACACATTTCTTTATAATTGAATCTCGAATTCCCTATATGTAGTTTTTCAAAAAGTCCAATTAAGTTGAGCAGAACATAGCCCTACTACTGGTAAAGTATACATGTCTTCTCATGTTATTGTGGATCCAATAAACAACTCTACCACGCAATTTAGCAATCACTAAATTCGTTATTACTTCGATTGGCTAAAACTAATTCACATCTAGTAATATGGTCAATAGAAATAAAACATTTGGAAAAGTTGACCACTTTGTAATTGCAGAGCATGTTCTGACATACATGCCTAAAATGAGATCTAGTCTCTGAGGTCAAATAGTATCTATATACATAAGAAATCAAATTGCACTATATGATTTTTTTTTACATGCTCAACTTCATCTCATTTCCTAACAAATTTAGTACAACAAAGGGTAATCCAACATTAAGCATGAGATGCACAAATTACATATGGCAAAGAATTGTTTTTAAACTCACTTCCCTTAAGCAACTCAATGGACTTGCTTTTAAGTTAAAATTGACAACTTCTAAATCCATCTTTCAATAACTCATATATCCTTTGTTAGTAAGAAACCCCCTTTACACTGATAATACCTTCTCTCTTTCCAATAGCCTTTTCTTGGTAACAGCATTGTCACTTTATTTCTTCCCTCAATACTCTCCACCAAACTCATGACTCTAATCTATATATCCCAACTACTTCAACCCTTTCACTACTCGGTACACTACTCTAATCTAGGTCAAATCCTAATTAAGTTTTGCAAGTAGTAATAAAGCAGGAAGATATCAACAGTTCATATTAGTTAATAGCAATGCGTAAAAAATGGCATCCATTATCAGTATGCAACTGTTTAGACCATCTTTGTTTTCTTTTTCTCCTTTATTGAGTAAAACTAAATTGCTTCTTGTAGAACCTTACAATCTAATATGATATCTACTAATTGCTTCTTGTACATCCTTACACCCTAAAACTAAGTTGTTAGTACAATATATAATTATCCAAATGATGAAAAAAGCTAACTTTACTTCGTAATTGTGAATACTTATACAACTATGAATTCATTTAGTTAGTCACTCTAACTATGATGCATCTAGTCACTCTAACAAATACTCCTATAAACATCATTTGCTATCTTTTTTTTTTTTTTTTTTTTTTTTGACAGAAAACATCATTAGATATATCTATTGTTTGAAGAAATCATCAGATACATCTAACTGTGATTTCAATTAAAATTTTTGAACAATTAATTTCCACACTTTATGGCGGTTCCAAGTTCCCACCAATTTGAACTGGTTTCAACAACTTCGACCCAATAACAATTTCGAACCGTTCCTATTGATTCAACTAATTTAAGATGAATAATAATTAATAATCACAATAAAAATAAAAAATAAAAAATCCTAAAACTAAAACTCAGATGCTAAAATCATCAAAAATTAAAGCAATCAACTACAACGTTTAAAGAAAAATTAAAGCAAAAAATATCCAGTCTAAAACTGATAATGAAACTAAAATCAATAGAAAAGAAATAACCTCTGTTGCCAACAGTCAAAGAAGAGTTGTTGTTCCAAACAGGAGCACCAGAATTTGTGGTGAAGTGTGATGAATTGTGCGCACTTGATGGCCGAAACTACACCACAAATTCAAATTCAAATTCAATCAAACAACAAATTCAAATTCAAAATCAATCTTTAAATCAAACATCAAATTCGAAAACAAAATCAAACCAGAAAATCAAATCAAAAATTAAAATTAAAAAATACTCCAAATACAATAAATCAATGAAATAGAAAGCGTCTGAAATTGAGTATTAAAGCAAAGATTGAGTAGTAACCTTGTAAGGATCCATGGCGGTAGAGAGAGAAAGGAAGAGTTGATCTTGCAGAGGAGAGAGAAAGAGAGAGATTGAAGAGATAAAGATGAAGGAGAAGGGAATGTGGTGAACACACAAATTTTAATTAGGAAATAAAAATAGGAGGTGTATAAATATATAAATAAAAAAAAGTGTGACGTAAAATGAGTCAGAGGTGGATAATATTGATAAGGAAGAGTAATAATTTTAGTTTCTGAAATAAATCCGAAATTATCGTCGCCGCTACTAAATTTCTGAATAATAATCTGACAAGTTAGCTGCTACTCATTTTTGAATAATAAGACAGATCGAGGCCTATTAATATGGGGTTGTTATTACTTTCCCCCCACGATTTTAGTTTTCGTAATCTTCATTATCTCATCTGGTCTAAACTTATATGTAGTAAATTAATACGTATAATTAGTTGTTTTAGGAAGTATTTGATTAGCTATGAACATGTTTTTATTTAATTTATACTCCGTATTAAACTTTTGTTATTTTGAGTTTATTTGGTATATAGTATAATGTTATTTTTCTAATCTTATCTAATTTTTGTTAAATTTGATCTAATTTAAATTTCTTATAATAAAAAATGTTTAACTTAAGAATGATATATAGGAAGTTAAAAAAGGACAAACTGAGAATAAGCTGAATAATGAAAAATTAAATACATCAATCTACACATGTTATTGTTAGAATTGAAATAATCCCTTAATAAGAAAACAAATTGATTGATAAGAATGATCAAGATTAAAAATAATGTACCCATATACAAACATTCGTTATATTTTCGAATGTACAGTATATCAAATTACATTATTAGTTACAAATTCATCTATGAGAATTTTATCACATACTAATGGTGGTTATTGGAGATTTAATTTACTAATTACATACACCAAATTATATTACTCCACTTTGATCACCTCAAGTTACCCTTGTGATTTTTGTAATAATTAAGATATACAAGTGAAGTGATGCTTGAATATATGTTGTCTACATGAGTATAGTAGTTTTCACAAAATTGATTTCCAAATAAATTGTTTGGAATAAAAATAAAAAAAATTAATTTAGTAAATTATACTCGTATATGCACAATATATTTTTTTTTTTTACGATAAATAATTTTGACTGAAAAATAACATGAAAACATCGAGAAGGATGTTTCCCATGGGCCCCAAGGCATTGAGCCATGAAGGTTTATGCGAAGATCTCTGCCAAAAAAAACTGAGAAGAAAACGAGAGCCACTTATCACTCATTGTTAGAACTAAAATGAACCATTACACTAACTCCACGTTAAACAATGTTGTGTGAATTGTGTGCACATTTGACACCTTATTTTTGGAAGTTGTTGCTGACTAGTGTGAAACCTTCAATATACCCCTTCGATGAGATTTTTTATAATCACAATGGGCCTTCCTTTCCTTTGTGTGAGCTTAGCCACACACTCAACGCCACTCGTTACTAGACTACGTACATTTTATTCACTTTATTTTCACTTAATCTAGATGTAATATGTTTAAATAAGTTTAAATATATTGACCTTATTTAGCAATTGGCTGTTGGCTGTAGGTTGGTTTGATTGACTGGTTTGCGTGGCTGTTTGTATTGGCTTTTTTGTTGGTTGTTTGACTTTTTATTAGTCTAAAAACATGTTTGGTAGAATTGGTTGTTGGATGTTATTAGTAAGTTAAGTAGTTAAAAGCCACTGTAAGTAGTTTTTTCATTTTGGCTTAAAAGCCAGCTTTTCAATTGGCTGAAAAAGCCATTTATCAAACAAATTTTGAATGTTTGACCCAATGAAAAAGTCAAAAGCCAATCAAGAAGCCAATGAAAAGTCATTTACCAAACAAGCCCATTAAATTAGGTCTCAGAAATTCCGGATGTGTTTCTCATTCATAATATTCGACCACATTACAATATACTACGTATATACAACAGTAGAGTACTTGGAGAACAAGCCCTAATATTCCTTAGTTAATTATCTCAACTAATAAAATAAAGAGAGAGGATGAACCCAGTAGTGAATTTTTGTACTTTCAAGTTTTCTTCGATTACAACCACATGCCTTTAATTAAGCTTGTGACTTCGCATAAAGATGAGTATAAACACTCCTAGTCCGTCGAACAACAATCAAACTAAGTACAACACCAATGCAAACAACTCCTGTCAAAATAGCACAAGTGATGGAATAACATATTCTACCTACACAAGTATGTGAACCTTCATCTCCTAATTGCAAATCGAGTTTAGGGTCTACAAGCCCACCTTGTATCTCTGCATAGTAGTCGTAGATGCGACTAGCAAGGATGCTAGAGAAAATAAATGAGCCAGTAGGCATTGAAAGTATAATAAAGTTATATAACGCACCAAAGCATTTTAAACCAAACATCTCTGAAATTGCTGCAGGGGCGATCCCCCAATGTGCTCCGTAACCAAATGAAGTCAACACAGTTAATGTATAAATTGCTGCAGGCCATCCCAAAGCATAGTATAAGAGCCCGATTGCTATGATGGCTTGAACAATCGCCAAAGCCAAAAGCCTAGGGTACGCGTATTTTCTGATAACAGCAGCAAAATCAGTAGCATTATATCAGCAGGATATTCTGATTATGAGCCTAAATGCTTAAGCCAAAATCAGTAGCATTATATTTATATCAGCAGTAATTATGAACTTGATCAAATAAATATCAAGTGGCATTAGCATGAGTGCATGACTAATATGATTTTTATGATGATAGAATACTGAACCTGACAACTATCTCTGAGAAGTATCCACCACCAACACGGCCAAGAAAGTTGCAGACGCTGATGATTGAGACAAAGATTCTTGGACTGGAATACCCAAGAGACTCAGATATCTGACCCATATTATCAATGATTGTAATACCAGATCCAGAACCCAAGATTAGGGATACAAACGTAAGCCAAAGCTCCGCCTTTCCTAAAGCTTGTAGCAAGGTAAAATTCTCCCCTAGTCGAGGATCTCTTCTTTTACCTTCAGCTTCATTTTCATCCTCGCTAATGATGGTTTCAACAGGTAGCAGGCTCTCTTTGACTGGATAATTCACTTGTGGAGAGAATGACAGCAGAATGGGCACTATTGATGGAAGTAGCAAGATAATGAGCAAGATTACAGAGCAAATTATGATCAAAGGTTGGTTCAAGTACTCTTCAAAGAGCAAAAAACCCATCAAATAAGCAGCCAAGATGAGGCAAACACCATAGACAAACGAAAAGCTCAAACTGTCAGAAGGCCTTTTCTGTCGATGACCCTCCACGTACCTTATAGCAAACATAAGAGAAAGAACAACAATTGAGGGAACAATAGCTATCGTTAATATGAGGAAATCACGATTAGTAGTGCTGAAGAAGTGATAAATTTGGCTTAAAATTGCTCCACTCAATCCATTAAATCCTTTTAGTATCCCCACGACAGGGCCTCGGCTATCAGGGAAGTTTAGCAGACATGATACTAGAGCAGCTGTATTATAATAAGTCTCACCATTTGTTCCCACAAATATGGCAATGAATAGCTGCAACAATTGGGAGGAAGACCATATGTCATACATCATAGTCATCAACTATACTTATGACATGCTCATAAAGTCATAATCAAATCTTGAACATCAATTAGATTATGACAGAAACAGTAATTATTGTCTTGTAATTCAGTTATTTGTCAATCAGTTTTATTGACTAGTTCACTTGACTTATTTGACCAACTTGTTTTGTTGGGCATTACCATACATATTACTCCGTAACAAAATTAAAGTTAGTTACCAAACAAGGCCTATAGTGCTTGACGAAACTAGTAATGATAAGTTAAAAAGTTGACTTATCGTCAAGAACTAAAGCTTAAACCCAAAAGGGGAATAAGAGGACAGAAAAAAAGGAAATGCAGCACTTGTAGATCATAACATTAGATTTCAGCAAACATCTTATTTTCATTGTCATGATTTGTCACATTTGATCACGTCAAATTAAATTTGAGCAAAACATCATTAGGTTACTGAATTGAATAAATAGCAGGACAAAATTGATAAAGAAACAGGTGCATTTGAGCCTAAGTACCAAATGAACCAAATAAGTCATTAAAATGCAGAAAAAACCAGCAACTTACCACCCAAAGAGGCAAATTAGTCAATCGTTTGGCGATAATTAGCCAAAGAAATCCATATCCAAGAAAAGTATGTAGCACCCCAACTGTCAAAACACCCCAAAACGGCAGAATCTGACAGACTGCACCAGCTAAGAATCCGACGCAGTCGCCTAAGTTTTTAGCAACACCCAAGTAAGAAAGTTGTTTTTGGTTATACTTCATTGTACTCTTGATCATTGGTGAAATGCTTCCGAACAAATAACCAACTCCTGCAAACGATTGGATCCACATTGATGCTACAAATACCAGCCATCTGTTGTTGAAAAATGTCCTCAATCTCTCTGGTTGTGTCACCATTTTTTATTTTCTTTAGCAACGTAACAGAAGTTTATTTGTAGTCTAGATTATTGTATGCAATGAATTTGAATGTGTGATTAGTGATTAAATTGGAATTGAAATGAGCTGGATTATTGCTGCATTTATAGTTGAATTTATGTTAAACAAAAACAATAAATAAGGTTGGATTGGATTGGATTTGAATGTATAATTGATGAATTTAACGTTGATGGTAAGGATGAATAAATTCATTAATTTGCATTTAAGTTGAGGGAGGTCTATTTGGGGAGGAAAACTACCAGAAGCTTCCATGGATTTCTTTCATGAGGGGATCATCATCATGAACAACGTGATGTTGGTGAATCAGTCTGTGGGGATGAACAACGTGAGTTTGTGGTTATTTATTTATTTATTTTTCATTATTTTATGGATTTTGAGTAGAAAATTTGACCCATCTTTTGGTAATATAGTTTTAGAAAACATCTAATACACAATTTTATTATTATTTTTTTTTGGGTGAAGGCTAAGGGCTTGTTCTCATACATTGAAATTTAATTCACTTCAATTCAATTCAACTCCTAATTTCCTTCTCTTATAAAATATTCAATTTAGTTCAGTTCAGTTCAGCACAGTTCAGATCATTTCAGCTCAGTTCAGTTCAAACAATAAAAACAGGCCCTAATACACAATATAAGTGTATAACATTATACAAAGTGCAAAGTAATAAACAAATAAAGATCTGGAAAATAATATAATTTGAAACTTCGTAAGACCGTAATTTGATATAGTTTAAGAAATGAGTATTGTGTAATCGATATAACTATTATTAAAGCAAAAATTAACCATGAATAAAACTCCTTGTCAAAAATATAAGTGGTAGTAGTGTCTTCTTGAAGCTGTTGAATGTGGTACCAATTTATGTAGGGAAATATCACAGTACATGACACAAGTATTGAGTAACAAGGATTTACCCCTTATTATATGACGAGGAAATATTAGTCAATCAGGCTGATTTACATATTGTGCAAATCAGGGGTCATTTTCGTCTTTTCACTTATATTAGTAAGGGTAATTTGGTCAGCTTGTGCAAACGTTGATATTCAATGTCGTTACCTTCTGTCATGACGAATCAGTTACAGAACTTCATCATTTTCCCCAATTCAAAACCCTAATCTGAAACCCAAACCCAAAAACTACTTCTTCCTCCATGGCACCACCACCTATGGTGGTTCAAAATGTCGCTGCAAATGAAGGCTTCCCCTAAAGGGTTGATATGGCCCTAATTTACACTCAATTCAAGTAGGGTGTCTTTTAGTTTCGCCGCGAAGCGACCATTGTTGGGGAAGAAGAAGAGGACGACGGGAAGAATAAGAGGACGGCGGGAACTGAAGAATAGGATGAACAAGAAGGCTTTGTGGGTTTGTTCGGCGGAAGGCGTAAAGATGGTGGTGGCTATGGTGGCTGTGATGTGTTTCGGATGGTGGTCCCTATTAGGGGTGAGCAAAAATTCCGGGTACCCAGAATTGGAACTGGAACTGGTGGGTCCGGAACCGGAATTGGACCCAGTGGTTCCAATTCCGGTTAATAAATTAAAGACCAGGTTATAACCAATTCCAATTCTCAACTTTTTGGAACCGGAACCGGTTGGGTACCCGGTTACCTAATATATGCTAAACTAAATAAATTTTAAATAATAAAAATATGTTGAATGTATCTAATTTGTAAATTAAAAGAGTATTATTAATGCCTAACATAAATACAAATAGCTTAATGCATATATAAATATAAGTATTAAACGCTAAAAATGAACCTAACTAAAATAAGAATTATAATTTGTATTATATTTTAACAATTACATACATAAGTGGGTACCCGGAACCGAAACTGGTACCCGGTGGTTCCAATATCAATTCCTAAATTTTAGGACCGGTTGAACCAATTCCAATTTTGGATCCTAATTTTAGGACTCGGTTCCAACCAATTTCAAGTCCGGGTCCTAAAATTTTGACCGGGTACCCGATTTTCTCATTCCTAGTCCCTGTGATGGTGACTATGGTGGTGTTGCTGGTGAAAGATGGGAGAAGATGCTTTAAAAATAAAAATAAAAGAAATCTGTAAAACCAAAACAAACGTTAGTAAGTCTAACGTCTTCAAAACCAAACAATAATATAAAATTAATTTATTTGGTAAGGTTGCCCACAAAAGCAACTGATTCAATCAAGCTGATTGTCTTGGTCTTCCTCATTATATGACCTTGTTTAATTATTTTCTCTTCTACCTTGTTTTGCTTGTTAGTTGTTACTAACACCGTTTACATACAAGTTTGCTTCAACAATTTAAGATATTTTGATAATGAAACTAGACATAAAACATTTAAGGCTCTTTAATATTTTTTTAATTCAAGGTACTATATTATTATACAATAAATTCGTCAGATTTAGAAATTAGCTCACGTATTGAAATAATTTATTTTCAAAGATTTTAGTTTTTTTTTTTCTTTTTTTTACAAAAGGTGTTTAGCATAGGATCTGTTCACATTTACTGAACTGAATTGACTGAAGACTTGAAACTGAGTTGAAGTGAAATTAAACTGAAGTGAATAGATAGGCCCTTGATTACCTTTGAATGAATTTGATTTAACCCATTAATAACGTACGTAACACAAGTTGACCTAAAAATCTCAAGGAATATTAGTAATATTACCTTTAATTTATTTGTCCAAAATTAGTACAGTACTCCGTATTATTCAATAATCATTGAGCATTACAATATACAAGGAATGCATTCTATATACTATACAAAAAGAAGGCAAAATTATAGTTAGATAATTGAACTGTACAATGACTAACTACTATAGGATCAAACATTATGATATACTACTACTTACAATAGCTAGAATATATGTTTTTTCAAAATCACCTAACATGCATAACTGCATATACAAGTATATAATCAAGGAATTTGTTCGTACTGGCGCATAAGCTGCAAAATGGAACAAGCCTTCCTTTGGCCTCTATTAGTCCCATTCTGTGAGATATCAACCAAACACTCATAAACTCCGAATTGAAGCGCCGCGAGCAAGAACGATGATCCACCATTCAACCCCAATTCGAGCAATATTGCTGCAGCCCCTTCTTTATTTTTAGGTGTACCATCACCCCCCATAAAATCAACCAATGCCTGTATAAACGGAAGCCGTCCGATTTCTTGCCTCCCTTGAGGGTGCGAAACAAGGAGCAACAAAATCGAGAGGGCCTCATCGATCATGCCTAGCTCATTATCTTCAAGCAAAGTTAATAAGGGCGTAACAATCCCTGCCTCGACAGCTCGAGCTTTATTCATTGTGTTTAGGCTTAAATTAAAGAGCGCGGTTGCTGCATCTCTTTTCCCTCTGATTGTACCATTAGCTAACAGGTTTACCAACGGAGGTATCCCATCTGACAATCCAATAGTCACCTTGTTTTCATCCAACATCGAAAGACTAAACAGAGTAGCTGCTGCGTTTTCCTTGGATCCTACGTTACCATTTTGTAGGACTTCTATGATTGTAGGGATTGCACCGTGTTCAGTTATAAGCTGCTTGTTCGTGCTATCGATTGATAAGTTAAGTAGCGTTGTAACTGCGTGTTCTTTGGTCTTTGAATCCGGGTTTGACAGGAGTTGGACTAAGGGAGGGATCCCTGAACTCTCAGCAATAAGGATCCTGTTTTCAGGGCTTTCCTTAGAGAGCAATCGGAGCTTGTGGACAGCCTCCCGTTGAGCATCTAGGTGAGTCGAGGAGAGATCTTGGATGAGTGGAATGATGGTGGATTTGTGTTCGGGTGAGGAAGGGTCATCGGTTGCTATGTTAGGGGAGGATTGATCTTTTTTTCGCGGTAGTTGAACCTTGTTCTTGTCACACCATTGTATGATGAGATTCTTAAGTGCATAGTTTGGGGCTAAGGATAGGTGCTGTAATACTTGTCCTGATTTTGGACATGTTCTGTGATTTGAGTCTAGCCATTTCTGGATGCTTTCCCTTTCATATGTCTACATTTTTCACAAGAAAAAAAAAATAGCTTAGACAAAAATAACAATAACTAAAACTAATATTACACATTGTATTCAGAGATTTTATATTTAACAGTAACATATCATTTTGATCAATTATATAGTACAAACAAAAACATAGTATTTTTTTGGAAAATTTGTCAATTACTACCGCAAGTTAGTACTACTTTGTAAATTACTACCGCAAATTAAAAAAGTTGTGAATTACTACCGCAAAAATTTTTAAGATGTTGCGATTACTACCAAACCCCCATTAAACCCAACTATGACGTCATTATATCACTTTAACCTATGGTTAAAGCCCTTAACCATGACGTCATTATATCCCTAACCCATTTTCTTTTTTTTTGGGGGGGGGGGGCTGGTTAAAGCCCTTAACCATGGTCAAACACGGGTTAAAGGGATATAATAACGTCATAGTTGGGTTTAATGGGGGTTTGGTAGTAATCGCAACATCTTAAAATTTTTTGCGGTAGTAATTCACAACTTTTTAAATTTGCGGTAGTAATTTACAAAGTGGTATTAAATTGCGGTAGTAATTGGCAAATTATCCTATTTTTTTCATAAAATATATGTAAAAGAACTATGTTTTGATTGATTATTACTATATATTGTGTCGAAATAAGACTTCATATTAAAACATAAAACCTTGTTTTCCTGTATTGTATTAGTCCAATCAAGAATGTACCAATTCAACCATATCTAAGATCATCCATATATTTAGTTACAAGTAAAATTGTGTTAAACAATGTTATATATTTAATATACTACATTAGATGAATCTAGAAAGATCACACATGACGGTGTTTTTCTTGCAAGAAAATCATCACATACAAAGTATATATTATACAAGGTAGAGAAAAATTTATGCTTTAGATGAAAAGCAAACAAAATGAAACTAACAAAAAGATAGGATTACCTGTCCAGTGACAACAATAACAGGATCAGTCATAATTTCTAAAGTGATTGGACAAAGAAATTCTTGGGGAATTTCTGTAGTAGGACTCTTGATAATTTGCTGTTGTTCTAAGGGCTTATTCATAGTTTGATCTTCAAGCATTAAATTGGTTTCTTCAATTCCAGCAATTTGTTTGAATTTATTAAGCACATCTAAGATAATTTGCATATGTTCTTCAGCTCTTTTATCTTTTGCAAGTCTTCTAATAGCTTTAGTTTCTGCCCTCAATTCCTCTGATGTCCCTAATTCGAGCTTTTTTGCTAGCCTCTCTAAGATTGCAATGTCGGCGTTTCGTTCATCTTCTTTGCTAAACACAACCATCATATCCATGGACAACTCCAAATCTTGTGTGTCTGTTCTTCTTTTGGCTCTCCTAAGTTGGTGACCCATTAATTCCGTCTGTTCACAAACATATTCAATTATTTTTCTTGTTATTATTTTATCAATGTTTTACCGTACGAAATCATGTAAAGTTACAATTACAAAATTCTTGTTACAAATATATATGGTCGAAAATTCTTTGTCACAAATATAATTTATAGTCAAATTTTGGTATA